GGAATTATAAAAAAGAGAAGTAAAAGACCACCCCTCCTTTTCAAGGTTTACATTTTCAGCCCTCAAACTTTGCTTATTCTCAGGGGCTTTGGTTAGAGATTGGGGATGGGGGGGGACACACCTATCAGCAAACATGGGGAGGGGTGAGGAAACCAAAGGGGAACTTTAAGGCAGAAAGGGGGGGTGGCACACACACACACACACACACACACACAGGTAGTAGCATCAGGATTTTGAGATGCTTTGTCAGTGGCCAACTGGGGGGGGGGAATGAAGTAGCCCCCCCACCCACCCATCTGCTCCACAGATTGCCCCTCTTAGAAGTGATACCAATTCCCATCGAGCCCCTCCCTGGCCTAAGGATGCCCTTAAGTGGGCAGATCTGAACTTGGGACCGGGAGACCTGTGTAAACCCAACCCAGTTTAAAGAGAATCAGCTAAGCTGGGAGGGGGAGAAGGGCAGGTTAGAAGACCGGAGCATCAGGCTCCTCTAGATGGCCTTAAGCCTCCCTGAGGGAAAGCTTCTGAGACCCCCCCCCAAGCGGTGGGGAGTAACAGTGTGGGAAGGGACCTTGGAGGTCATCTAGTCCAACCCTCTGCACAGGAAGGAAAAATGATACGGGATTTCAGAGAAACAGTTGTCCAATCTCTTCTTAAAAACCTCCAGTGATGAGGGAGGGAGGGGAGAGAAGGAAGGAAAGAAAGAGAAAGAAAGAGAGAGAGAGAGAGAGAGAGAGAAAGAAAGAAAGAAAGAAAGAAAGAAAGAAAGAAAGAAAGAAAGAAAGAAAGAAAGAAAGAAAGAAAGAAAGAAAAGACAGTGGGAAGGAACCTTGGAGGTCATCTAGTCCAGCCCTCTGCTCAGGCAGGAAAAACCAAAATACCATTTCAGAGAAACAGTTGTGCAATCTCTTCTTAAAAACCTCCAGCGATGAGGGAGGGAGAGAGAGAGAAATAGAAATAGAGAGAGAGGGGGAAGGGACCTTGGAGGTCATCTAGTCCAACCCCCTGCTCAGGCAGGAAAAAACGATGCCATCCCAGGCAAAGGGCTGTCCAGCCTCTACTCAAAAGCCTCCAGTGTTGGAGCACCCAGAACTTCTGGCGGGGGGGGGGGAGAGTCTCCTCTGAGCTATTAAGCTGCAGCCCTTACGATTAATGCCCCCCCTCCCCAGGCTTTCCTCCCTCCCAACCCCCCCCCCCCATTCCCACTCCGCGACTCACTCCGCTCCAGGAAGCTGCGCACGGTGTTGCCTTCCAGCAGGTGGGGGTCTTTGGTGACCCCGTCGGCGTCGGCCACGGTGTTGTACAGGTCCACCATGTACTGGGGGGGCTCCTTTGAGTAGAGGGGGGGCTGCGGGGGCTCCTCCATGCCGAAGACCTCCAGCAGCTGCTTCAGGGCCTGGTCCCGGGTGTCCTCCGAGCCCCCGGTGGGCTTGGCGGGGCGGGCAGGTGCCCAGGTGAGCAGGAGCAGCAGCGGCAGGAGCAGCAAGCTCGTCATCTCGGCTTCTGGAGGGTTCCTCAAGAGGACTAGCTCCCCAGGGCTGGCCCGGGCCCCCTTTATACCCCCGAGCAGAAGGGGCACAGGCTGATGGGCCATTAGGGAATTAATGGGCCCGCTAACAAGGTGCCAAGCTGCCCATCAGCCCAGTCCACATCTTGGAGGGCTGTGGATTCCTCGGGAGGAGAGACCCCCCCCTCCGGAAGGGGGGGCTGCGTGTTTGCGGTTGGGCCTTGGCAGGAAGAGGTGGGGAGACTCCCCCCCCCTCCGTACACCTCTCCGAAGTTTATTGAGGGCCCAAGGCTGCCAGCCAGATGAGCCAGCTCTACCCAGGGGGCTAACGGGCATCTAATGGGGAGCGGCGGGGGGCCATTTGCAGACAGGAATTAGAGGCTTCTGGGGGGGGCAACAGGGGGAGAAGCAGCAGCAGCAAGGGGGATCCCTCCGTGGGGCAGCATCCTTCACCCTAAGTGGTGGCCCTCCTGGCTGGGAACACAACTCCCCCCTATCCCCTGGGACACCCGAGGTGAGCAGCCCCCCTTGGCCCTGCCCGCCCCTAGAGACATGGGGAGGGGCTGCAGCTGAGCCCTTTGGAGGCCAAAACAGTGTCCTCTCCCTGTGCCGAGGGCCTTTCTGAAAATCATGGCATGATTCTAGTCCCCATGCATTTCCCTGGCTCAAACTGCCCTTCTCCTGCACCACTGAGCCCCTGGACCCCTTGAGCCCCACCGTTTTACAGGAAGTGGGGCAGCTCCCTGCCCTGTGTAGACCTTCAGAGAATACCTGCTTCCTACACACACACACACACACACACACACACACACACACAACCAGCCCCCAATTGCTTTTCTCCCTTTTCTAGTCTGTTTCAGCAAAGACGGAGCCCAGACAGATGACCTCTGGGGTCTCTAGGTGTGCACACGGCTTTCACGCCACTCGCGATGCACCCAGCTGAGTGGGCCCCCTTCTGAATGCCACATCAGAGCCCGTTTGCACGGAGGCGTCTACTCCATCCCCATCAATCCACCAATGCCATTAGTGGGATCCAGAAAGGGGGTCTTCTCCATCATTGCCCCACCCTCACCAGCCCCCTCCCCAAGATTCATATGCTCCCCCCCCAGTTGGCTTTACTTCTGAAAAATCCTTACAGCTGATTTTCCTCCCACCCCTGTGGGATCCTCAGCAGCACTCAGCTGAAAGGGACCTTGGAGGTCTTCTAGTCCAACCCACTGGTCAAGCTGGAGACCCTACCATTTCAAACAGGTGGCTGTCCAGTCTCTTCTTCAAAGCCTCCAGTGTTGCAGCACTCACAACCTCTGGTGGCAGGCTGTTCCACTGGTTAATTGTCCTCACTGTTAGGAAGTTTCTCCTTAATTCCAGGTTGCTTCTCTCTTTGATTAGTTTCCATCCGTTGTTTCCTGTCTTGCCTTCAGGGGCTTTGGAGAATAGCTTGACTTCCTCTTCTTTGGGGCAGCCCCTGATATACTGGAAGGCAGCTATCATGTCTCCCCTATTTCTTCTTTTCTTCAGACTGGCCAAGCCCAAGTCCTGCAGCCGTTCTTTGTATGTTTTAGTCTCCAGGCCTTGGATCCTCTTAGTTGCTCTTCTCTGAATTTTTTCCAAACTCTCAACACCTGTTTTGTGATACGGTGACCAAAACCAGATGCAGGTATTCCAGGTGTGGCCTGACTAGGGTTTTATAAAACGATACTAAAACTTCATGTGATTTTGATTCTATGCCTCTGTTTATGAAACCCAGGATTGTGTTGGCTTTTTTGGCCGCTGCCACACACAGCTGGCTCTAATTGGGGGTCTACACAAAGTTCACCAATTAGTTTTTTTTTAAAGAAAACAGATGTTCCTTTTACAAATCTGCCTTTAACAGGGTGGGTGACCCAGGCTGCTTCTGAAACGGGGAGAGCCTTATCAATGGGATAAATGGCAGCCTGATTGTCCCAGATTGCTTCTCTCCTTGATTAGTTTCCATCCATTGTTCCTTGTCTTGCCTTCTGGTGTTTTGCAGAATGGGGGGCCTCCCCCCTCTTTGGGGCAGCCCCTCATTTAATAATAACAAGAAGAAGGAGAAGGAGAAGGAGAAGAAGAAGAGGAAGAAGAAGAAGAAGAAGAAGAAGAGGAAGAAGAAGAAGAAGAAGAAGAAGAAGAAGAAGAAGAAGAAGAAGAAGAAGAAGAAGAAGAAGAAGAAGAAGAAGAAGAAGAAGAAGAAGAAGAAGAAGAGAAGAAGAAGAAGAAAGAAGACCATCATCGGCATTGACAAATTCGCTATTAGTCAATTGCAAAAGGCGGCCTTACTAGGAACTGCTTCCATCCTGCGACGATATCTGTAATACTATCAAACATCCACATCTGCCTATCCCAGGTCCTGGGTAAGGACTCGATAGGTAGACAAAATGCCAAATCCAGTCTGAACATCTGGCTGACTGTGGGATGATCAATAATAATAATAATAATAATAATAATAATAAAATAAGCAAAAACTGGTGGGATCATAAAATAGAGAAAGTCATAGAAAATGATAAAATTAAACTGCTCTGGGACTTCAGAATTCAAACAGACAAGCACCTGCAACATAACACCCCAGACTTAACAATTGTCGATAAGAAAGACAAAAAAGTCTGGATAGTGGACGTGGCAGTGCCTGGAGATAGCAGAATAGAAGAGAAAGAACTGGAGAAGATAACAAAATACAAAGACCTACAAATAGAAATAGAAAGACTGTGGCAAAAGCAAGCAAGGGTAGTACCAATAGTCATAGGCTCCTTGGGTGCAATCCCAAAACAACTGGAGCACCACTTGAACACCATTGGCATTGACAAATTTGCTATTAGTCAATTGCAAAAGGCGGCCTTATTAGGAACTGCTTCCATCCTGCGACGATATCTGTAATACCATCAAACATCCACATCTGCCTATCCCAGGTCCTGGGTAAGGACTCGATAGGTAGACAAAATGCCAAATCCAGTCTGAACATCTGGCTGACTGTGCGATGATCCATAATAATAATACCATAAAGTTGGAAGAGATCTTGGAGGTCATCTAGTCCAACCCCCTATACCATCTTTGACAAATGGCTGTCCTTATTGACCAACTCCATTTCTTTTCAAGCTTTCCGGGCGATGGATCTGCCAACCGGTCAGGAAGGGAGATTTTATTTTAGGAAAATTATTCCGTTTGCCCCCCTCCCCTCCGTGCTGAGCTCTGGCGTCCAGTTGGGCCGGATAAGACAGCCTGGCAGTCTGCCAAGGGAGGCCCCCTCCCCAAAAAGGGGGGGGCAGGAAAGAGCCATCTCTGCCCAGTGACCCTCTTTTGCAAGACCCTCAACCCAGGAGGGGTTGTCTGGGTGATGGATGGAGAGTCCCCTCCCCAAAATGGGCTTCCAAAGGGCGGGTGCTGGGTTCAGGGGGTGCCCAAACATCCTGGCAGGCCTGGGGCTATCCAGGTGCCCCCCCATCCCACCCCTCCAGGCTTCATTCTGGTGCTGAGTTTCTGGGGGGCCCCAAAAGCTGGCTTGGGGACCCCAAGAGACCCCACCAGGGGATGGGTGAACTTGTGAGGCTGCTCCACTATTTCCTCTATTATTCTTGGCTTCCATTTGGTTTTTGTCCTGTTTTAATGGATTTAATAACTTTTTTTAGCTCTGTGTTGTGCGCCCCGCAAGCGTCGCTTATGTGAGAGATGGAGAGCTGTGTACATTGAATAGAGCAGAGCTGGAAAGGGACCTTGGAGGTCTTCTAGTCCAGCCCCCTATACCATAACATCGGTTTAATAAGAAATAAAACCTGGGGAGGCAGGGGGTGTCTTGAGGCTGTTTGTTTTAATTTTGCCGCAGGAGGCCATCCCCGGTCTGACTTTCTTTCGGCCCAAATGTTTTTAAAAGCTGAGGCTCCCCAAAAGCAAAGCGACCCCAAACCAGGCAATGTATATATGAGGCGGGCGGGGGGGGGCTTTGAGTGTGACATTCTGCCCCCCTCTATCAGAACTAGCCCCATTTGGAGCTCCGTGCCAATGCAGCCATCAGCCCCGGACGACACCTGGAGGAACAGGTGGTGTGTGAATAGAGAGCGAGATCTAGGACAGTCGCACTCTGGGATGGGGGGGGGGGTGAGAGCCAGCCTGCCCCAGCCTCGGTCCTTGCAGCCCCCCCCCAGAGAAAAACGCAGCCTGATTGGACTTGCCAGCCGAATCCCTCGGGAGCCTCAGCTCGGTTCTGTGGTTGTGTCCGATAGGATCAACTTTATTTGCACACCGGGTCCCTCTTCTGGGGGAGGGACGGGGGAACGGCCGCTCTTGAAGGGGGGGGGGAATCAGGCCACAGTGGCTCCCTTCATCTCCATGGCGGCTCCACATCGGCAGGTCCGGATGGCCAAGATGGTGCTCAGCTGCCCCGTCCGGCTCCGGAAAGTCTTTGTCTCATAGTGGTCAGGGACGCAGAGGTTGGCAGCGGCCCTCACCCGCCCACAGCCAGTGGCCCCGGGGACCCTGCAGCAGGAGCACACGTGGGAGCAGTCAGCCAGGGCAGGGCAGGGCAAGGAGGGAGGGAGGGAGGGTAAGGAAGAGGGAAGGAAGGAAGGAAGGAAAGGGAGGGAAGAATGAAGGAAGGAAGGAAGGAAGGAAGGGTAGGGAAGAAGGAAGGAAGGAAGGGTAAGGAAGAAGGAAGGAAGGAAGGAAGGGTAAGGAAGAATGAAGGAAGGAAGGAAGGAGGAAAGGAAGGGGGAGGGAGGGAGAGGGAAGGGAAGGAAGGAAGGAAGAGGGAAGGGAAGAAAGGAGAAAGGGGAGGAAGAAAGAAGAAGGAAGGAGGGGAAGAATGGAAGGGAGGGAGGGTAAGGAAGAAGGAAGGAAGGGGGAGGGAGGGAGAGGGAAGGGAAGGAAGGAAGGAAGAGGAAAGGAATAGAAGGAAGGAAGGAAGGGGGGAGGGAGGGAGGGGGAGGGGAAGGAAGGAAGGGAAGAAAGGAGAAAGGGGAGGAAGAAAGAAGAAGGAAGGAAGGGGAAATGGAAGGAAAATGGAAAAGAAAGGAAGGAAAAGTGTCCTGGCAAGGCAGGTGAGACAAAGAAAAAAAGAAGAAGCTAAAAAGCAGGAGGCCCCCCCTTGCCCCCCCCAGCACCTGAGAGAGAGAGGGAGAGTGTAGGAAGATGAGAGAGGGAGAAAACTGTATTCTGAGGAAGCCTCCATTGCTTCTCTTCCTCTCCAGGTGTTGAATTTGCAGCATTCACACATCCCGGTCGGGGCCTTCCCAGAGGATGGTGGACCCCCACACACACGCCCCCTCCCCTGCCTGGCACTCACTCTCTCTCTCTCTCTCTCTCTCTCTCTCTCTCTCTCTCTCTCTCTCTCTCTCTCTCTCTCTCTCTCGGGAGGGGGCTAATGGCTCAGTTGACACCTCCAGACCAGGAGCAAATGGGGGGGTGGGCGTTGGAGGCCCCCCTCTCAACCCTCTGTCTGTCCCGGACTTAATACCCCAATACACACCCAGGAGGAAATGAAAGGGGGGGCTGTGTGTGTGTGTGTGTGTGTGTGCATGCACCTGCATGTGTCTCATGTCCCCCACCCCACCTGGGCTGCCTTACCTGAGCGGGCATCGTCCTAAGCACCGTCCCACGTCCATTTCCTGAAAGATTTGCAAAACAAAGAGCAGAGAAAACGGCTGGTTTCCTTTGGCTTAGCTGGGGGGGGGCGAGGGGGGGCTGCTCTCTTTCCCAGAAGCTGGCCTGGCCTGGGGGCTCTCCCACCCCCCCACCCCCACCCCCACTAAAGGGCATCAGTCCTTTCCCTGCCATTCCCAAGCTCCCGTTGATGCATCTGTCATTGGCAGCCCTTTCAAGGCTCCCTGGGCCCATGTGGCTGGGGAGGATGGGTGAGGGGGGCACCCCCTCGGAGAAAGTCCTCGGTCTGACCTCACAACACCCCTTCAGGCAGGGCGCTTTGCTGACCTGTCCGTCTGGAAATGCTACCCGCCCTTTTTTTGAGGTTCGGACCAAGCTCTGCCCAGCTGCCCAGGGCGCTGTGCCCTCTGTCCCCCCCAGCCCCCCGTCTCCCCCTGCCCCCCCCCTCCTCTTTTCCCCCACCCAGCACCCCTGTGGGGTGGGCCAGGCTGAGAGAGAGGGGGGGCTGTCCCCAGGTCACCCAGTTCAAGGCATCTGCCCCTTTTCCCTCCTGGCACTGATGCCCACAGACCCAGCGGCACCCAGGACAGCCTCCATTGAGGTCTGGGCCTCTTCGAAGGTTGACCATGCCTGCATGAGGGAGCTCCTCGCAATCTCTGGCCCACAGCTCCGAGCCGAAGGCCGTGACTCCCCACTCCCCGAGGCGCTTCCAGTCACCCAAAGCTCAAAACTGCCCGTAGTTTGTGTAGGAGTTCCAGATTTTCCTAACAAACTCCATGGATGGGATAGTTCCAGCCTAAAGGGAGGGGGATGCTTCTTGGACACCCCCACGGATTGGGCACCCCCACCTCCTGCTTCTCCCCTAAACTAACCCCAAGAGCCCACAGGCTGACTGGGGCACCACGCGGGGCTGTGGGGGGGCGCCCTTGGGGAGACGCTGGGGCAGGGGGCAAAGGGGAGGGGGGCACCCAGGAGCAGACCTTGCGTTGCTCCGTCTTCCTCCCTTCGGCACTCAGCACCACCTCCGAGTAATGCCGCCAGTGGGGCACCCGGGAGCAAGAGGCGACTTGCCAGCCGCAGCCCCCCAGCGTCCGGACCAGGCGCTGCCCGTTGGGGCCCTGCAGGAGAACCGAGTCGAAGTGGGTTGGCACGCAGATGGGCCCGCCTAGCAGGGAGGGAGGGAAGGAGCGAGAGAAAGAGAGAGTCACCCGGTTGGCACCAGGCCCTGCGGAAGGCAAGGTGCCCACCTGTCTCCCCCCCCCCCCACAGCATCAATGACACATCTACATTTTGCACAGATAAAAATGTGGTTCTTTTCTGCGTTGCTCCTAGTTAGTTACTTGGTTAGTTGGAGTTAGTTTGTTTGTTTATTTATTTATTTATTTATTTATTTATGAGACTTATATACTGCTTTAAGTGCAAGCACTCTCTAAGCGGTGTACACCAGTAAGCAATGTATATATATATTTACATTGCCCCCAACAATCTGGGTCCTCATTTTACCTACCCCGGAAGGATGGAAGGCTGAGTCAACCTTGAGCCGGTGAGATTTGAACCGCTGACCTGCTGAACACAGTCAGCTAAAGTGGCCTCCAGTACTGCACTTAGTTAGTTCATTAGTTAGAGTTACTTACTTAGATAGTTAGAATCAGTTACTTAGTTTGTTAGTTTATTAGTTGGTTAATTAGAGTTACTTAGTGATTTGATTAGTTAGAGTTAGTTCATTAGTTAATTAGTTAGTTAATGTTAGTTTATTAGTTGGTTAGTTGGTCAGAGTTACATAGAGTTAGTTAATTGGTTAGTTTATTAGTTCATTAGTTATTAGAGTTTGTTAGTTTGTTACTTCGTTAGTTCATTAGTTTGCTAGTTCATTAATTCATTAGTTAGATTTAGTTAGTTCATTAGTTAGAATTAGTTCGTTTGTTGGTTCATTAGTTAGTTAATTAACTAATTAGCATTAGTTAGTTGATTGGTTAGAGTTAGTTCATTCCTTGGTTCGTTAGTTAGAGTGTGTTCATTAGTTTGTCAGTTAATTAGAGTTAGTTAGAGTTAGTTAGTTTGTTCATTAGTTAGTCATTTAATGGGTCTGCGATGGAGGAGCAGCCTGATGTAGATGTATTAAGCCAGCCTTTGGGGTCCAGAGCCCTGCCTGGTGTTACGGGGAGGGGGGGAACGGCTCCCCCCTCTTCCAACGCAGCTTCTCTGGCCCTTGCAGACCACCCTCCCCAGCCTGGGCCACCCCAAGGACGCAGCTCCCATGCTCCCCGTCCCAGCCAGGGCCCGGCTTGGAAAGGCTGAACCTGGCCCTGGAGTGATACCCGAGGGGGCTCACCTGGGGCGGGCGGGGGGCCGGTGCAGCTGCCCACGTCCAGGGTCTGCTCCGAAGAGGAGTCGGGAAAGAAGGTCTTCAGAAGGGGCGAACGGAGACACTCATCCGGGCTGGCGTTGCACTGGCAGCCATCCACCACTTCCACCTGCCGAGGGCCGTCCCGAAGCCAGTGGTCCTGCACCAGGAGGCGGGTGGGCTGGCAGCGGGAGCCGGGCGGGCAGCAGCCGTCGGAGTGGGGGGGGACCCTGCCCCTGGCTGGCCACTGAGAGGGTCTCTCCTGCAGCCGCAGTGGGGGGGGTGCAGGGTGATGGGGGGGGTTCTTACCCTTTCCCCAGGCCCAAGAGGCCTTTCTGGAGAAAGGGGGAATCCGTGGGGCGTGAAACCCCCATTTCTGCCTTTGGAAGAGTCCCAAGGATTGTCCAGTCCTTCCTTCCTTCCTTCCTTCCTTCCTTCCTTCCTTCCTTCCTTCCTTCCTTCCTTCCTTCCTTCCTTCCTTCCTTCCTTCCTTCCTTCCTTCCTTCCTTCCCTTCCCTTCCCCTCCCTCCCTCCCTCCATCCATCCATCCTTTCCCCTTTTTCCATTTTCATCTTCCATCCAGTTTTTTCACATTCCCATTTTCCTCCCTCCCTTCCTAGGACTGGCAGAAGGGGGGGGTGAACATCTGGAGGGCCCAAAGCTGGGGGTCTGGAGCCCCACGGAGGCCGGGTTTGAGCAGCAGAAGGCATTGAAAAGGGGGCAGCTGCAGCTCATGAAGGAGGGGGGGAGGGGATTTGAGGCACCCTCAGGTTTTGGGGCTGGGGGCCAACTCCCAGCAAGCCTCCCCAGCACCAGGTCTCCCTCACAGGGAACTAAGCAGGGGAAGATCTGATCAGTCGGTGGATGGGAGGCCAACAGGAAAACCTCAGTAGCCTGGGCAAAGAAGCCAAGGACACATTCCAGCAGAAGGGTGGGGTGGGGGGGTCACCGAGGGGCTGGCTGCCAAGAAAAGGACCGGGGGGGGGCTCCCCAGGAAAAGCTCAAATAATTCTTCAGAATACGATTTGGAGGGGGGGGGACGTGGCCGAAGACCATGACATGGCTGAGGATCCCCCCCTCCACGCTGTCCTTCCTTCCCGGCCGATGCTGCCAGCACAGCAAGAGGAGCAAGCATGGACCCCCAGGTGTCCCCCCCACACACACGTGTCTGGATTCCTCTCTTCCCCTCCTCATCCCCCCCCCACCCACCCCAGAGTATCCTGCTAAGCGTCAGCTGGGAGAATGCTCAGCCTTTCCGGACTAAAACTGCTCTGTGCCAGCAGCACCAGCACCCCAAAACCCCTTTGTGGGGGCCTCGTGCTGGTGCAAGGTGGTCTGTGGGGCTACTAGGCAGCCCCCCCCCCCAAGCTGGCCAGGATGGGGCTAAGGGTGGAAATGCCGGGGGGAGTTTTTTCAAAGCTGGCCAGGCCAGATAAGTGAGCCCCCCCCCCAATCCGGAAGAGGGGCAGTGGTCACCCCAGGAAACGAAGCCTCACCTGGGGGGCCTGGTGGAAGTCCAACAGGGAGGGCTCTCTGGGAAGACCTGGACATCCCGAAGGGGGGGGTTTCCCCACGCCACAGAGGCTCCTGCAGACCCCCACGTCGACGCTCACCCGGCTGCCTGAAAAGTCTGGGAAGAGAGAAATGCCAACAGGGTGTTGCCCGGGCCTGGGTCTCACCCAGCCCCCCTCCTCCAAAAAGTCTCTTGCTTCCATAGCCTCCCCCTCAAAAAAATACAGCAGCCCAAGACCCCCGACATTGCAGTTAGCCAGGATTACAAGTGCCTCTCTTTCCTAAGCTAGACTTTAACCGGAGTTTTGTGCCGGCGAGGAGCAAACGCTGTGTCTTGGTGGGGGGGCTCAGCTCCTTCCCTTTTACAGATTCAGCTAAAGCAGTGGTTCTCAATCTTTTTAATGCCGTGACCCCCAACCGGTCGTAAGTCGAGGACTAAACCGGTCGTAAGTCGAGGACTAAACTGGTCGTAAGTCGAGGACTTTCCCTGCCTGGGAGTGCCGTGCATGCGTGGTGCCGCCCCCTGCGCCGGCCGAGGCATAGCTGGCAAGCAGCAGAGACGGAGCAGGCTGACCACTGGCTGGGCCACCAGCTGGCCCAGCCCAAGGCAGGTAAGGCACCCGCTGGAAAAGGGGGGAAAAAATGGCGGACAGCCTTGCTTGGCGACCCCCGTGAAATGGCCAATCAACCCCAAATGGGGTCGTGACCCATAGGTTGAGAACCACTGGGCTAAAGGCTCAGAAAGTCACTCTGACTGCTAACCTTGCTGGCTTTCAAGAAAGCAGAAAGCGAATAAGCCACGTTCCCTTGTCCAACATCTGGAAAAGTGGGTGGTGTTGCAAGGACCAGGTCTTAATTGGATGCTAATTAAGCATCTTTGGCGACCATCCCATCCCCTGCAGATAGGCTGTTGTTTACTCACTGTGCCAAATAGTTTAGAAAAGGGCAGAAAATGGCAAGAGGGACCCAGTTATTAGGGGCTCCGTGCTGTCCAAAGGGACGGAGTGTGGCTAGCTTTTAATATCTACAGATTGGGGGAGACCCGGCTTAAAAACAGCCACTGTGAGAGGGATCTTGGAGTCTTAGTGGACGCTCACTTAATCATGAGCTGGCAATGTGCAGCAACAGCCAAAAAAGCTAACACAATCCTGAGTTGCATAAACAGAGGCATAGAATCAAGATCACGCGAGGTAGCTAGAATTGGGTATGTCTAGTTTAACGAAGAAAAGGACAAGAGGGGACATGATAGCCGTGTTCCAGTATCTCAGGGGCTGCCCCAAAGAAGAGGGAGTCAAGCTATTCTCCAAAGCCCCTGAAGGCAGGACAAGAAGCAACGGGTAGAAACTAATCAAGGAGAGAAACAACCTAGAACTAAGGAGAAACTTCCTGACAGAACAATTAACCAGTGGAACAACCTGCCTCCAGAAGCAGTAAATGCTCCAACACTGGAAGTTTTTAAGAAGAGACTGGACAGCCACTTGTCCGAAATGGTGTAGGGTTTCCTGCCCGAGCAGGGGGTTAGACTAGATG